GGTCAGACCATTAAATTTTAGTAGTAAATTCTTGGTAACTACCCAGTCTAAGAGGCTATGCAGCCACTTATCCTGCTACTATGGTAATTCTGAGGACCCAGTCTTTTGGGAGTGAGTGGCAGGTATTGCCCAGTAGTTAAGCATTTTCCTTGATCTGAACCCCTCTGCTTGCTTGAGTTAGACCAAAGACTTGAATTCCATTTTTTTCTTCCCCTCCCACCCTGCCAAGAGAATGTTTTGAACCATGGCTGCTGGGTAGTTGGTGGGAGAGGTCTCAGCATGGACTTTTAAAGCCAGTTCAGTCAATGTTAGAGGAGTGTAGATTGACTGCAGCTCAGAGTTGGTGGCTTTCACCAGAGGTACCAGAAATCAGTTGCCAAAACAGTATGTTGTTCTAAGGAAATAGAGGAGCTCTGTGTGTGTGTTTGTTTTGGTTTTGGTGGTTGTGGGTTTTTTTGTTTGGATTTCTTAGCTAGCAGATCTGGATTCAAGCCTCTACTTCAGGGTAAACAGAAAGGATTTGAAAACAGGTTTTCTAGATGGCAGATAAAGCTGTTCTTTTCCTGCCCCTAATCTTTATACTTCCTGCTGGCTAGAAACTTCTTCTTTAGTTTATTGCCTTTTTTGAATGCCATTCTGAAAGCCCAAACTTTTCCCCTGCCTGAAAATCAAAATATGATGGAGTGTGTCACAAGTGTTTGTAGCACAGGGTACATTATGTTCTGCAGATCCATGAGCATTAGAGATTTATGAAAAGCTTGCCCTTGGATTCAGTGGCACTGTGCTAATTGACTCTGTAGTCAGTCCCCTTTTACTACCTCAAGGCATTTAGCAGGGCTTTCAAAAGGGGTGTGCTGTATCACCTTTATCCTTTTTGTGGGTTTAACCAAAAATATCTCTGTACAGTTAGTTCTTCCTTCCTCTTAAAGGATGTCAGAGCCTGAAAGTGTACCTTGTAGTCCTTTTTTGTAGCCATGTTAATTCTTAGACCTGATACATACTCTATCCCTTCTGAAAATGTGTTTCTGTGGGTAAATCTCATTTATGCTGTGTGATCTTAGTGAAATTTAGCTAATTCAACTCAATGACCAGTACTTTAATTGGAGAAAAAAACCCCACCACATTACTCAGTCTCTTCCCTTTTATGCTAGTAAGCTATGGCCAGAAATGACCTGTACGTAGTGATGCTCCCCGTGCAGGTGCTTTTGGACCAGATTGTGCTTTCCCCTGCTCCCCATACTACTTAAGTCATTCCAAAATTAATTTTTTTTAGTATAAAATTTCAGTTGTCTTATTTGTGTTGTTGGTTGGTCTCTAGTATAATGTGGCCAATCATAGGAACAGATTTCCATATTTCAAGGAAGTGGTACCTGTTTGGCTAATAAATAAAAGGGTAAAAGGATGCAGTGGCAGCTGTTTTGTCTGCTTGTGTTTTGGAAGAAATAACAGATGTAGACATTGGACTCTAATCAGATGTTCAGGGTTGCAAATCCCAGACAGAGATGCAGCTTAGTTATTGCAATTAGAGCCAGAAGAACAGGGGTGAGGAAGGGCTTTGTGGCTTAATGGTGTGCTTCCTATAGTTTGTGCTGAAGTGTCAATGTTTCTTGGATCCTCTTCAGTTTTCAGTTACAACCTGTGGTTTTCAGAAGAAAATTAAGTTCTTTTCCTAGATCTTGCTGCCAGAGCATGAACACCATAAAACAACAACCCAAAAGATGGTGCTAATAAATAGCAAGGTTTGGTTTTCATGCAGACTTTTGAGGGATTTTATTTTGAGATGTGTTATATTAGAGGCCTGCCAGAAACATTATTTTAGAATCATGGTTACTTTTATGAAGATAAGAAACCTTCAAAGAATCCTTGGGAAATTATTACTGCGTAAGAAAATGCTTCATATTAATTAAAACATTTTTAGTAGCATAACAAAAGCAACTTGCCTGTAAATTAGCCAGTTATAAGAAATTACCTGAATGTTGTGGAAATCTCTCAAGGGAAGGAAGGAGTTCAGAGGACAGAATTTTGACAGTACTTTCAGTTTTGATCATAGAATATAACTGAGGACTTAAGAAATATTAGTTTCCAGATTAAGGTACCAGGTTTGTTCTGTAGTTTTATTTCAGATGCAGCACACCTTCTGAATACAAGGACAAGAATACTAACTCTGCAAGGGTAAACTTAAAAGGAGGTAGTAGCTAGCAAACATGTGATCAGAGCAATGGGCACATGAACTTAACAATTTGGAAGTAAGTTATTGTTATCTTCAGTCTACCTTTTTCTTCTCAAATAATCTCTTTTGTTTCTTCAGTCTAACATGGGGTCTAACATGGACTCCTGCTATGATATCTCAGTAAAACAAATGCTTTGCTCAACAGGCAAATAATTGAGAAACTTCTTAAACACGTTCTGCCAGCAGGAGAGGTATAACTGAAAGTATAGTACTTCTGTCCAGGGTGTAAAAAATGCATTCATGGTAAGAGTGCAGCATGAAAACTGAGTGATAAATTAACGGGTATCATCGTATGAAAAGGAAAATACAGCTTGTCTATCTTGGGTAGACTTTGAAAGGCATCAGTAAAGCTAGTGACAAGGTTTAAAGAGGACGGAGGTAAGAAATGTTGCCCAGAGGGTTTTTCTTTTGTTGGGATGCTCTCTTGTATCTGTTAATGCAGACTACCTCCAAAAAGAGCAGATACTTTAAAGCTAGAAATAGCATGGTATTACTTGATGTCATATTGCCTTTTGAATTTAGGATCAGAGAGGGTATTATAACAATACTACTGCTTATGCTTCATTTTCTACATTTTACTTTGTTATGGAACTTGGATCCAGTCTAAATGATAAATGTTTCATCAGCAAAAATAATCTTCTTTATGAATAAACTGCAGCTGGTCATTCAGAGCATGGCTGGAAAAATGCAGTCTACTGTAATGTATCAATGGATCAACTGTTCTGTTTGCATAGACCCTTCAGGGGCCAGCACAGTGTTATTGCTGCCTTGTCACAATTTTTGGGTACAGTTTTTACAGGTATCATGCTGCTGTCCTGTCAGAAGTTAGACACTTCCAGAGGCATTTGGAGACAAGAGGAATTACTTTGAGGTATAAACACACCTTGATTTTCATCAGTGAGGCTGGCTATTTTCTATACAACAGAACATGCTCAGTCTTTTGGAGAACTCAATAAGAGGGAAGAAGAAGAGGAAAGGGGAGAGTATCATCTTGGTTTATGATGCAATCAGAGGGATCTAGAAAACAGCTTGGACGGGGAAGTATTAGGCAAACATGAGAACCCACTCTACCCTATAAACCATTGCACCAAGAAACTTTTCCCTGGAGCCTGCGGAAATATTTATATGGTAGCTACTGCGTCCCATGTGCCTCTAAATGCCAACTTAAGCCATCTCACAGTGCCTACTGCCCTCCAGCCACTATAGGTCATGCCTTTGTTTAACTGTCATGCTGACCTGCATTTCTCATGGTACTTGGCAACTTTATGTCTTTTTCTGTGGGTTTGTTTTCCAGAAGTGTGTCACTTTTCTTATGCAGAAGAGTAATTTTTATTTTAAATGCTGCTTTACCCAGCAGACTTGACGTCTCCTCACACCTCCTTTTCAGCTCAGTGTTTATTCACCACACTCCACTCAATGGCTGCAAGCACACAGTTACTCTTACATTGATTGCAGCTAGTCAGCTAAGACATGCAATCTGCTTTGTCCACTCCAGCTAACTTTCCTAGTGAAAGTCCATAGAAGAAGCTGGCTGAAATGAGTATTCAAAGATGTATGTTCTCCTCAACAGCAGTTCATCTGTGTTGTGAACCGGGCAGTGTCTGTTTGGCAGTTACATGTGTAGGACACAATGCTGGCAAGAAGGTGTGTATGTACTCTTATGAAATCATAGTAGTGTTCACAAAAGGTTTTACCTCTTGGCACTGTCTAATACTGATCTGGGGTCACTTGAAAAGTAGGTCAGTCTGCAGTCAGTCAAAAATCTTGTGGTGTTGATAATCTGTCAGAGCAGTGCTTAAGAGTGATGGAGAAGTAGACTTACTACTTTCAGTGAGCTTAAGGTACACAAATAGAGGTACTGAAACTGAAATTTACCCAAACTCAGGCAAATTAACAAAAAAATTTATTAAGAGTATTCAATATAGCACCACACAATAGGTACACTGTGCTTTGTGTTGCCTTTAAGGAACATGCCAGAGCATTTTCAAACTAGAAAAACTAACGTAAAAAGCTTTCTGTTCATCAGCAGAGCTTACTGTTTATTGTTTAGAGAAGCTATTCTGAAAGAACCACAGCTTTTGTATATAATGTTTTAATGGTGTTCCAGGCAGATTAAGCATTGTTGCCTTACCTGTTAGTTCTCTTTCATCTTCTGGGGTTTGAGCTTTGTCCAAATAAAATCTCACTTAGGCCAATGTGCTTTCAGAAAAAGCAGTCAGTCCAGAACTCTTACCAGCAGATCCAACTGACAACATACTAGTCAGCTGCTAAGTTCTGTTTCTTGAAAAATAATGGAGTTTTGATCAATGGTAATTGTCTGAATTGGGCTCTATGAATCAACCCTAGGCAAGCAGAGAAAGTTTGGAATCAGCTCTTAATTCTGTCTTGGGCTCAAAGATAAACAAGGAGTACATACTTGATAAAATTACAGATAAATTGCATTATAGAAAAATGATGGGTGACTTTGAAGGGTCATTTAGTCCATCTCCTCTTTCAGTACAGATTGTTATGCTATAATGGCTTGAAATTATTTCAAATATAAGGTGCTTCTAAAGCCCATCTTGGAACTAGATGAATCTTTAAGGTCCCTTCCAACCCAAACCATTCTATGATTCTATTTCATTCTAAATTATTTATTAGTCCCTCACATTCCTTAGGATATCGCTAAACTTTGTTTCATAGCCTGAATTGTTCATATTAAGTTCTGTGTATTAGCTATTACAGTATTATGCTTACATTAAATTTGCTTTATTTTTCCTTTTTGTAATCAAGGCGAATTGGCAAGAATTCTATTTTGCCTGGATATGGAACACAGATGTTTCAGAACATCCTTTATTTGATGCGTCTTGCAGTTAGAGAAAGGCCAGTTTTCATCAAGGGGACCTTAGCAAGTGGACAACAGTAACAGAGCCATAGTCAAATGAAAGTGTGGAATGGACCCAGTGCTAATGCATATAAAGAGAGTACTGAAAAACTTCTAGGCTTCCAGCTTCACTGACTCCAGTATGGAACGTGCTTCTTTATACTCTTCAGCTTCTTCCAATTCTTTTTCATTTTCCTGGAATCAAAAACAAAATTTTTGAGTATTTTGAAAATAATTGACATAGGATGAAATTTGAGAAGGTAGCTGAAAAAAACCACCTGTTAACAACAGATGAGGAGAAGGCTGAGGTACTCAACTTTTTTTTTTTTACTGCAGTCTTCACTGGTAGTCTCTATTCCGACACCTCGAGTGGATGGCCTGCAAGATGGGGACTGGGGGAGCAAAGTCATTCCCACTGTATGAGAAGATCAGGTTCAAAACCACCTGAGGAACCTGAACATGCACAGGTCTATGGGACCTGATGCGAGGCATCCTAGAGTCCTGAGAGAGTTGGCTGATGTAGTTGCCAGGCCACAAGGGAAACACTGCACCTATTTTTAAAAAGGGTAGCAAGAAGGACCCAGAGAACTACTGACCTGTCCACCTCACCTCTGTGCCTGTGAAGATCAGGGAACAGATCCTCCTAGAAGCTGTGCTAAAGCACATGGAGGCCAGGGAGGTGATTTGAGACAGCCAGCATGGCTTCACCAAGGGCAAGTCCTGCCTGACCAACCTAGTGGCCTTCTGTGATGAAGTGACCCCATTGGTGAAAAAGGGAGGAGCTACAGATGTCATCTGTCTGGACTTCTGCAAGGCCTTTGACAAAGTCCCCCACAACATGCTTTTCTCTATGTTGGAAAGAGATGGATTTGATGGGTGGACAGTCAGGTGGATGAGGAACTGGTTGGATGGTTGCACTGAGTGTGTAGTGGTCAATGGCTCAATGTCCAGAGGGAGGTTGGTGACAAGCGGTGCCCCTTGGGGGTCTGTACTGGGACCATTACTCTTTAATATCATCAATGACAGAGACTGTGGGATTGAGTGCACCCTCAGCAAGTTTCCAGATGATGCCAAGCTGATTGGTGTGGTTGACATGCCTGAAGGATGGGATGCCATCTGGAGGGACCTGGACAAGCTTGAACTTCATGAGGTTCCACAAGGCCATGTGCAGGGTCCTGCACCTGGGTTGGGGCAACCCCTGGTATCAATACAGGCTGGAGGATGAAAGGATTGAGAGCAGCCCACCCGAGAAGGACTTGGGGGTACTGGTGGATGAAAAGCTGGACATGAGCTGGCAATGTACACTTGCAGCCCAGAAGGCAAACTGTATCCTGCACTATGACCAGGTTGAGGGAGGGGATTCTGCCCCTCTACTCCACTCTGGTGAGACCCTGTGTCCAGTTCTGGAGCCCTCAACACGGGAAAGGCATGGACCTGTTGGAGTGCGTCCAGAGGAGGGTGACAAAAATGATCAGAGGGATGGAACACCTCTCCTGTGAGGACAGGCTGAGAGAGTTGAGGTTGCTCAGCCTGGAGAAAAGGAGGCTCTAGGGAGATCTTATGGCAGGCTTCCCCTAACTTAAAG